TTTAGAGAAAGGGGAAGAGAGAAAGAGAAACATCAATGCAACCGAGAAACATTGATCGGTTGCCTCTTGTACGTACCCCCACAAGGGATGGAACCGCAACTTACGTAGGTGCCCTGACTAGGAATCAAACCAGCAACCTTTCAGTGAACTGGATGAAGCTCCAACCAACTGACCCAGACTGGCCAGGGCTAGTTGAGCATCTTTTCATATGTTTGTTGGTCACTTGTGTATTATCTTTGGAGCAATACCTAGCCAAGTCCTTTGTCCATTTTTTGATTGAGTTATTAGTTTTGTTTTTGTTGCAGTGCAAGAGTTCTTTCTATAGTCTAGATATTAATTCCAAATATATTTTTTAATAATTCCAAATATATTTTTTAACAAACATGGAATAATACTTATACTTTGCAGTTTTATGAAATGCTTTTAAAATGCATTTTAAATATATGATTTACTATTACTTTGCCACATGATCTATATTCTGTTCTATACTTATAGTCTAATTATTTTTTTATCCTCACCCAAGGATATGTTTTTATTGATTTTAGAGAGAGAGGAAGAGAGAGAGAGAAACATCGATATAAGAGAAACATCCATAGGTTGCCTCCTGTATGTATCCATAGGTTTCATTCTTGACGGAATGAAACCCACAACCTTTTGGTGTATGGAATGATGCTCCAACCAACCAATCCACCTGGCTAGGGAGGTTATAGTGTAACTTTTAATGAACCCTGTATTGTAGATATTTTATGCTATTTTCATTTTTCTCTATTATAAATAAAACTATACACTGATCTTATTTATTGATTTTATGATAGTTTCTGTATTAGTTTCCTGAGCCTGCTGTGAGAAATTACTACAAACTTGGTGGGTATGAACAACAGAAATTTATTCTCTCATAGCTTTAGAGGCTGAAAATTTGAAATCTGGCAGGGCCACACCACTCCCAGGAGTCTGAGAGATATGTTCCTTGCATTTTCTGGCTTCAGATGGCCGTTGGCATTCCTTAACTTGTGGCTGCATCATTACAACATCTGTGTCTGTGGTCACATCTCCTCATCTGTCTATGTGATTTCGCTCTGCCTTATTTATAAGGGCACTTGTCATTGGATTTAGGACTCACCCAGCTAACATAAAATGATCTTATCATCTCAAGATTCTCAACTAAATCACTCTGCAAAGACCCTCTTTTTCTTTATAAAGTAACAATCACAGGTTCTGGAGGATTAGAACATGGTCATAGCTTTTGGTGGGCAATCATTTAACCCACTATAGTTTTATTAAGATAAATTCCTAAATTAAAATTGTTAGCTGAGGCTACATAAAATGTAAATGTTTTTAGATAAATATTTCCAAATTGTGCTTTAGAATGCCTTTGAATTGCATTTTTAATGTTCTTAAACATGCATGTTATGTGTGTTTGCATACATACCAAGCAAAAACATATGTGTACTCTATAAAAATTAAAAAGGAAAGAAAAGAGAGGAGAAAATTGGAGATAGGGGAGAAAATTTACAAAGAATGGTGGGGGCTGTCAGGCTTGTCCTCCCTGATAATTTAAGTTCTATCCAGAGTTGTTTTGGTAAAATATACCCCATATGGCCAAACTTGTGTGAATGATTTGATTATGTCTGTGTTGTTTATGTCTAGAGATAAGTTTTTTTCTTCAAATCTTTGCATTGTGTAAAATAATTAATCTTCAATGATGACACACTGTTTTTCATTAAAGAGAAACATTTTGTTTTCTATTTTCTTCAACTGAAAGTTTCTGTGAAGATCAGTTTGGAGGGCACTTAAAAATTTAGAGGCAAGGAAGAGTAACAAAAGATAGGAAAAAAGGAGGTGGCCAGTTACATAGGAGGAAAACAAGTGTAAAGCCAAAAGAAGAAAGTTTGTCAAGAAGTAGTTTTGACCAATTATTGTCAAATGCTGCTTTGAGAAAGGTACAATACAATGAAGACTGAGAATAGATCACTGGATTTGGCAAGAATTAGTGACCTTGAAGAGTCAAGAAACAAAAGCCTGATTAGAGGGGAGTTAAAATAGAAATAGGAGGAAAGAAAGTAAGGATGGTGAGTACAGATGCTGTTAAGATTTTTTTCTATAAAAGGGAAGAAGAGAAAAACAAGCTAGCTGAGGGAAAAAGGCCCAAAAGGATTTTTTTTTTTTTTAAGGAGGCAGACATTATATAGCATGTTGACAGAAATGACCCAAGAGAGAGGGAATGTGGAGGAGGCCTAACTATTCTTTGTCATAGATGTTTAACAAAAAGTACTCAGTAAATGCTAACTGCTCTGATTATTTTGTACTACTTTTAAAATCAAACTTAATAATTTTAAAATCATTTGCCAACTCTCTCGAATTTTGGAATTTTTGATTTATAGCAAGTTTCCAGGTAATGTCATCAATATACCCAAAATTTAAGATATATGAATGCTGCTATGAAAAATAATAACAGAAAGCTTACTGTTTCTTATGGCCATGTGAAAACAAAATTATATATTTCTTTTGGAGAGAAGGGTTTATGTAGGATAATTTATGCATCTGAATATAAACCTGTTATTTCTACAAAATAATTTAGAACTATGATAAGGTTTATTATTTGAATAGGTTCTGGACAATAGTCAATAAAAGAGTGCTCTGTGATTATGAAGGGCCACAAAAACAAAGAAATAAAGACAACAACACAGAATAAAGAATAGTGTCAATGGAACTCATGCAAAACATTAAGCATAATTTTAGTGTTCAAATAAAAAAAACTCTTCCTTTTTAAAAGTATCTATGATAATTGGGTAACTAATCAGAGTGCCTGGGATTAGACCTAATACTTTGGTGAATCTAGGACAGAGACAAAGAGAAGGTATGGTGTATAATTTTTGTTATTTTGAACAAAAGAGAAAAAAGTGAACCTCTTTACTTGTGAAATTGTTCACTTTGTGTGTGAGGAAAAGCCATAACTATAATCAATCAGAGCCTTTGTCCAAGTAAAAGATTATAGAGAATTATTGTCAGATGCTGAATTTTTCCTTCCAGAGGAATAACAACCCTATATAGACCTTGAAAATTTCAAGAGTAGTCTTCCAAAACCCCTATAAAATATAAAACTAATATACTTGCAATTTAGGTACAAATCAGGAAATGCAGAAATTGCAGTACTCATAGTTATTATTAGCTAAGTTCACAGGGCACACATGTAGGACTTTTTATTTCAAAGCAGCCCAGTGTGAGGAGTTAATATTTCTTTGGAGACTGAATATTTGTACTTTCCTTTTTTTCTGAACTAAGATTAGAAAACAAAAATAAGAGTTTGCATACTTCACTTAAAGTATAATTTCTTAGAATTGCCAAGATGTTTGACTGACTTCTGATTTTGTATCAATATTTAAGGGAAAGTATTAAAGGGGATATCTTCTTGAGGCAAATTCAAAGACCGTGTCATGTACTAGGGCTTTTAACTTTTTTATATACTTATAATGCAGCAATTTTGTGACTAGTTTCCATAGCATGTTTCCATCAGTTAAAGAGAGAGAAAATATTTAATTTCTAAGGGAAAATCTCCAGTTTTCACTTTTTTTATGCTACAACATTGAACAGAAGAGAATCATGCAGACTATTTAACATTTGATTTATTTAGTTTTCCTAATTAAATGTTTTCTTATGCTGTTTATTTTTTAAAATTGTCCAAATATTTTGTTGGTTTTAAATATTCTGAAAAGTATGCATATTGATTTGGGAGCTGATAAAATACTTCTGAAAGTCATGATGGCTTTTCTACTTCCCAATGTAAAAATGGGCATAATTAAAATATCCCTAAGTTCTACATTTTTCAATTAAGAAAAAAAGTGCATTCCTTTTAAAAAATAGGGCAAATCAACGGATGTGGTTTTATCATATGGGGACAGTTTAAGGCAGTGGTTCTCAACATTCCTAATGCCGCGACCCTTTAATACAGTTCCTCATGTTGTGGTGACCCCCAACCATAAAATTATTTTTGTTGCTACTTCATAACTGTAATTTTGCTACTGTTATGAATCGTAATGTAAATATCTGATATGCTGGATGTATTTTCATTGTTACAAATTGAACACAATTAAAGCATAGTGATTAATCACAAAAACAATATGTAATTATATATGTGTTTTCCGATGGTCTTAGGCGACCCCTGTGAAAGGGTCGTTCGACCCCCAAAGGGGTCGCGACCCAAAGGTTGAGAACCGCTGGTCTAAGGAGTTATGGGGACCACACCTCAGACTTTCTCCACTCAAAGGATGAGAGAGGGGAATATTTCTTTACTGATTCTTATCCCTCATTGTGTTAATTCCCTCATACTTACAGGTTTTTATGAGAGTCACAATTCAGTTGAGTAGGTTCCCATAGGCAACACAGAAAAAATTTCTGAATGCAGAAGACAAGAAATTGCAGTGGAGGCAAGGTGCAGTCATGTAATACTTTTGTACACCTGGTTGTCATAATGACACCTGGGCTAGAAATATGTTAAGGGAGCATGAGGTAGGGCACAAGAGCTGTCTAAATACTCCCTCATGGAGAATTTTGGGAAAATCACATGGCATAATCATCAATGGATGGCTAAGGTGATAGAAGAATACCCAATATTTACCTAAGTGACTATAAGTAAAAATGCCTAAGTCTAATCATTATGTTGTGTTAAGTAAAGAAAAGATAGCCTGTAGCTAAAGAATATATCCCATGTTTTCAAGTCTACATGGGGCCTATTTAGAGGAAGGCAAAAAGTACTATAGCACTTTGTGTATGCCTCCAGTATGGATATAAAACATTGTCTCCTATGAACTGGTCAAATACTTAGTCTGTTTAGCAATGTGGTCTTTCGTGAGGAAAGGCATCAGGTAATCACAGGTTATAACATTAACTAAGAATATCATCTAACTAACTTTATCTTCTCTGCTTCCAGGTTCATCAAGCAGCTTTCTGATTCTACTGTGGCTTCCTCATAAATTAGTCTACAGCGATAAAATGGACTCATTTTCAACCTGAGTAATTGTATTTTCTACATATGGTAGTCACATTTATCATTGTAAGTTTAAAAACTCGGCCATGGTTTAATAATTGTCAGTCCTTTGAAAATGTGAGTAGTGTGAGATGAAGAAGACTGAGCATGGTTGGGATAATGTTTAAACATATATCAAGCACGGATGTGACAAGGAAACTCAGAGCCTATGACAAGAAGAGGATCGCATTCGGTTCTAGTAAGAAAAGCAGCTGAGAGGAGGCAGAACAGTAAATGGCTTGGAAGGAGTAGACGGTGTAGAGAGTGCTGACTCTTCTCCCTGGCTTTGCGGGCGAAGTGAAGGGGGTTTGGGAGACAATATAGTTTTTAATCCATGGGAGATAGAGGGTTCGAGAACCGGTTCAATACTATAGCTTAGCTATTTTGACAGTAGAAGGGGCACTACAGGACACTGCAGGTCAAATGATCCTAAATTTTCAATTGTGCATGTGGTGTAATGGTGCTTTCCACTCCAGCAGAATTGCTTCTCCAAGTTGGTGGTTTGATTTGATCCATTGTCAGAAGTCTCTAGAGATGGGAAATAAATGTGACTGCAAAGCATTTGGTAAACAAAAATTCATGTAAAACTTGACATTAACAACTTTCCAGCAAATACCTATGAAATAAGTGGTATATTTTGTATAAAATTTCAGAGTGGTTTCTTGATACAGTAAAATGTTTTTCTCTTATTAGTGATGCTTTTATAGTTGGCTTGATTCACTTGATATTGATGATCTACACTGTAATAAAATTTAAGCAGAGAAACTTAATATAGTTTGAATTAGAAACCACAGCTTCATTGGGACTTAATGTATCGTGTTGCAGCATAACATTCTAATATACATAATTTTCTAAATCGTGCATTGACTTCAGGGAGTAGTCAAATATTCAGCTCCATTTCTCCTAAGTATCCAGAATATAGTTAACAATATAATGTCCTCTATGCAGAAGGTAGAAAAGCTCCCCTCCACACCCAGGCTTGCCAGCGGAGCCAGAAGATGAGGCAACTACTACCTGCATGAAAAAAGCTCCCTGGCAGGGTTATTTTCAGTACATTTTGATGGGATAGAAGAGGAAGAAGAACCGACATTTTCAGAATGTCTACTATGTGCCAGCTCTTTTACTAAGTTTAACACACTTTAATTATTAAAACAAATCTGCATGTATAGGTAATTGTTATTCTTATTTCACTTTTAAGGAAACTAAGCTCAGAGATGCTGTTGAAATTAACACAGCTATGGTGGAACTGAGAATGGAATACAGTCTTGTCTTCATTCTATTCATATACTTGATGCAGTGTCTATGTCCAAATCTATGAATGTGAGAGAGCTCTGCACGAGTGTACCTGTCATCATGGGTATTTTAGCATCATTCCTTCTTTAGACAGTTTTTTTTCAGTGCTGTCAAAGTAGGCATGTATTTAAGAAAGGACAAAATCTCTGCTGTTTTCTTGAAGACAAAAAGAGGTTGCATCAGTCTGGTCTTTGCTTTCTTAATGACAGCAGGTATGGTGGTTTCAGGAGGCAAGTTCTAACATGTTCATCAACGGTAAACTCCCGATGGCAAAGGCCATGGCTTTGCATTTCAATTTCTAATTTATACCTGGTTTTTAAGAATCTTGCCCAGAGTCAAAGCATAGTAGTAGTAGGTTATGTTTTAGTTGCTGAATTTTTGCTTCCTCTAGATACTAAAGACTCAAGCCCTGAATTATTTCAATTATTTCTGAAATAAACCAATGCTCACACTAATACAGTCCTTTATTTATTTGATATAAGTAAATGAGGAAAAGGTTTGGCAAATGCTCACTTTTATAGTGAATTGGGTTTGGCTTGTTGGCTGAGTGGCTAAGATTTGGATATGAATATTTATAGTTGGCAGTGAGAAGAAAGAATTCCCCATTTGCTTCTCAACATTGTTTAAGGAATGTTCTGTGCTGTTATCCTGACAGACTTACAAATCAACATGAGTTTGATAATGGTGACCTACAGTTTTCAGTGGAAGATAATTTTGGGTAAAAAGATAAGTATATTTCAAAAGGGTAAAATCTGTCAGTAGGCAGAAAGGAAACTCTTATTTTGAGACTAAAGTATAAAATATTAACTCCATATAGCTTCACAGGCAAACAGATTATAAATCATTTCAGCAAGGAGTTAAATACACAAACAAACTTCAAATGAAGAACTGAGAATTCACCTCATGAAAGGGTGTAATATGCAGCCTCGAGAACAGCCCCCAATGGTCCCTGCCTATTGATAATCTCATTCTTGTGTAATTCCCTCCCATTGAGTGTAGGTTGGACTTAGTGACTCATTTTTTTTTTTTAAGTGACTCATGCTTAAAATGAACAGAATAAAGTGGGACTAGTGATATGTGTCATATAAGGCAGTGTGGTCCTTCTCTCAGATCATTCACTCTGGAGGAAGCCAGCTGCCCTTTCGTGAAAAACTCTTCGTTGACGCCCTAGCGGCATGGACCTGAGACCTCTTGCCAACAGCCACGTGAGTGAGCTTAGAAGTGAATCTCCCAGCCCCATTCAAGTCTTTGGGTGACCACGGCCTCAGATGACAGTTTGAGTGCAGCCTCCTGAGAGATTGAACCAGAACCATCCAGCTAAGCTGCTCCCAGGTTCCTGATCCTGAGGAGCTATGTAAGATACTAAATGTTCATTATTTTAAACCACTAAATTTTGGGGCAATTTGTTGTGCAATAAGAGATAACTAATACAAGGGGGCAGGAATGATAGTGTGGCAATCTAGCCTGGAAAGGATTGGGCCAGGAATTCATTCATTACCAAGCAGACTAGACAGGAATGTATCATGTTTAAGTAGGTCAGTTAAGGCAAAAAAAAAACAACACAACAAATATGGTACAGGTTTCGAAGGTCAGCATGTCAAGGCTGGAGTGTTGGAGAGCCAGCAAAACAGACACACTTTGGTGAAGTGAGTACCTAAGAGTTTAACCCCAAAAGTTAGTAGAGGATGCAGGTGAATTAGATCTTAATAGAGACAACTACAGAGAACCTAGAATCACCTCACAGATTAGGAGACTCCCAAGACATGTGATGTAGAAGTTGTCCTAGTTATCAGAGTTCAGTCAATTAAATTAGGCATGCTTGGGCTCTGGCCAGGTATCTCAGTTGGTTAGAGCATTGTCCTGATATGCCAACATTATACGTTCAAACCCTGGTCAAAGTACATACAAGAATCAACCAACAAATGCATAAATGAATGGAACAACAAATCGATCTCTCTCTTTCTAAAATCAATCAATCAATAATCAATCAATAAACAATTGAATAAATAGGCCTGGTTGCTATTCTCTAGGAAATTATATTTTTAAATGGACAGATTGACATGGGCAGGCATATAAAAGGGAGTAACTCTAAATTCTAAATGCATGTTCCTCTTCCTTCTCCTCATTCTCTTTGCCTCCAGCATAGCTCAGGCTCTCAGTACTGCATGCCTCCCACTTAATTACTACCAGGTTGTTTTTTGTTCATTAGCCTTGTCTCCTCAGCCAGACTGAGCTGCTGAAGGAAAGGGTCATGTCTCATTCGATAATCCTCCTTCAACCACAAGTTCTTATTTGAAATTGAATATAAAATTTTGGATCACTATACAGGAAGCATGTCAAGTTGCCACCATCTTGATTCTAATGAGATTCAAAGCTCTCTGGGTTATTTGTTTCTACCCTTGTTTGCCTCTCTATACTATTGGATACATTTTTTCTAATTTTTGCAAAGGTGTATTATCACTTATTTTATATTAAAAGCATTATAATGTGGTGCAAGGAATATCTGGGGGACATACTGCTATAGATAAGATAGACATGGACCCTGCCTTCCTGCCATTTGCTACCCATGTAGTCTGTACAATAGTAGGAAAACAGTTGTAATTGAACAATAATACAGTTAGGCTGAGGCAGCTCCTGAGAACGTTTGAAGGCATGACCCATGATGTGTCTTGATATTCCTCAATGGGAGATCCTTTTTGCGATCTGACTCTATGAAGAAAGTGTAATTCCTAACAAAGAAGAGTTCATAAGATCTTCTTACACAGAACTCTTCAGCATAGGAGGATGCACTCACATAAAAGAATACAAAGAACACAAAAGTTGGAAATACAGCATAGCATATTGAAGCAAAGTAAGACCTTAGAAAATAATTCCTAAACTTTGATATCTAAAAAATTTTATTTGAGCAAGTGTATTTTATAAAGACCTTAACACATATATTAAACTAGAGGCCTGGTGGACAAAATTTGTGCACTTGGTTGGGGGGCCCTCAGCATGGCCTGTGCCCTCTCACAGTCCAGGAGCCCTTGGGGGATGTCCGACTGATGGGGAGTGGGCCTAAGCAGGCAGTTGGACATCCTTAGTGCTGCCACAGAGGCGGGAGAGGCTTCCGCCATTGCTACTGTGCTGGGCTTCTGGTTGAGCGGTGCTCCCCCTGTGGGAGTACACTGACCACCAGGGGGCAGCTCCTGTGTTCAGCATCTGTCTTCTGGTGGTCAGTGCACGTCATAGTGACCGGTTGTTCTGCTGTTTGATCGATTTGCATATTAGCTTTTTATTATATAGGATGATTCATTACAATTCTATAAAATGACTAACTCCTTCTAATCTATTAGGTGTCCATTTAAAAAGTTGTTTCTTCTAGGAATCTCTCATGTAGTCCCATAATTCTTTGTTCTATACATAGCATAAGTTTGAGTAATTTAATATTTAATTGTCCATTGCCATCCAATAAATTATGGACTTTTAATGAGAGCGGGAACTTTTCTTGATCAGTTTTGTTTTTCCAGTCTCTAACTTAGTGTCTCACACATGGCAAGTGCCCCCAAATATTTCTGTAATGATAAAGGAATAAATACATGGAGGGAATGAAGGTGTTTTTTTTTTAAATACCAGTTTTCATACATGTGCTTTCTTCAAAAAGATCGAGAAAACATCAGAAATAAATGAAATCAACACATAGGCCCTGGCTGGTTTGGCTCAGTGGATGGAGTGTTGGCCTGCGGACTGGAGGGTCCCGGGTTCGATTCCGGTCAGGGGCACATGCCTGGGTTGTGGGCTCAATCCCCAGCGGTGGGCGTGCAGGGGGCAGCCAATCAATGATTCTCTCTCATCACTGATGTTTCTCTCTCCCTCTCTTTTCCTCTCTGAAATCAATAAAAATATATATATTTTTAAAAAATTAAAAAAAAAGAAATCAACACATAGGGTTACTGAAGCATGTCTGATGATAAAATTCTGCTAGGAGTACAAGCATTCATTATTTTTCATTCATTTCTTCATTTATTTATTACCTTCTTTCTGCATGCTAACCAATACCAGATTTTACCTCTCCTATTTAGCCTCTGGAGCCTTCCTGGGAGCTTCTTACTAGGTTTGGCCCTGGTAGAAAAACCTGACCTTTCTGGACTCACTCTCTTTCCTCTTTTGCTTTGAAGAGTGTAATATTGAATAGCTCCAGCTTGCACATTCATAGCAGGCTGAAACTTTTCAACTTAATTTTGCCAACAATAGTAGCTATTAAAATGTATGAGCAAAGAAGCAACATTGCAAAGCAGGGTTCAGGAAGATTCTTATCTTGGGAGTTAACAGAATGGTTAGATAAAGCATAGGGATGGCGGCTCAGGCTGGGGATGAGCAGGGAGAATACAGGCAGACAAACCACCAGCTAGGAAACGCATGAAGAGTCTGATCCTGACGAGACTGTAAATTGGATTAAAATTTGGGGAATGAAAAGAAAGGATTGGATGTGAAAGACTTTAAATAAGAATCTAAAAATTTAAAAAAAAAAAAGAATGTAGAGAGCAACTAAGATGGCGGCATAGGTAAACACCGGGAAATTATCGCCTCATACAACAATTGAAAATTACCGCAAAGGACTGAGCAAACATCATCCAGAAAAACAGGAAGGCTGGCTGAGTGTAAATTCCACAACTAGAAGGAAAGAAAAACACGCTGAGAGCCAGAGGCGCTGCGGAGGTGAAGTGCAGAGGTACGGCGGCGGCAGCGGCGCGCGCGCACGAGGAAAGGGGGTGGCGCCTGAGGACGCGGCTGTCTTTTTGAATCACAAACTCCCGACGGCTCTGAACTCCAGTTCCGGGAAGTCTCTGGGGACCCAGGTCTCATACGGGGAGAAGCTGGTCTGTCCGGCAGCGAGCGAACTTGAGGCCGGCTTTCCCTCAGAGGTGCTTGCAGCCGTTACCGGAACACTGAGACGCGCGACTCCGGGCGGAGAATCGGCCATGGCCGCTTTCTCCGCCCTCTGACTCCCTGAGACCCCGCCCCACCCAGGCTGCGGCAGAGGCTTTTGCATGTGAATGTACCTAACTGCAGCCCAGCCAGGCAGACCCGGAACTTCCAAGAGAAGGCCCAAGGCCCAAGGCCCTGCAGCGGCTTGCATTGCTTCACAGCTGAGCCTCTTCGTGGCTCCTGCTGTGTGGCCTCAGGCAGAGGCTGAATTAGCACCTCCTTAGATCCAGAAGCCACTGTACCCAGTGGTCAGAGGGTACCAGACTGCAACTCCTCAGATCCATAAGGGACACACTCAGGGAGCAGACTCAGTGAGCACCAAAGCCCCACTGAAGCAAGTCTTGCCCCAGAAGGGTGTCTTCAGCACAGAAGTTCTCCCACTTTAGACACAGCTGATTCTCACAGCCAATTGGCCTGGAGGTCAATTCCTCCCAGTGATTCTACAACAACCAAGGCACCAAGAGTGCACCAAGAGTGTCCACCCCAGGTAACTGGGGAGGCTGAGCTACTGGGCCCTACAGGACACCTGGCGCACAGGGCCACTCTATCAACACAGGGAAGCTGCCAAAATGCGGAGACAAAGAAACAGGTCACAAATGGCAGAAATGGAGGAAAGCAAACGATTGGATATAGAGTTTAAGGCCACGGTTATAAGGTTTTTCAAGAATTTTATGGAAACCGCCGATAAATTTAATGAATCCCTCAATAAGTATAGGGAGACCATGGAGGACATGAAAAAGGACCAACTAGAAATTAAGCATACACTGACTGAAATAAAGAATAATTTACAGAGATCCAGCAGCAGAAAAGAGGATCCCAAGAATCAAGTCAAAGATTTGAAATACAAAGAAACAAAAAATACCCAACCGAAAAAGAAAAAAGAAAAGAGATTCCAAAAATATGAAGATAGTGTAAGGAACCTCTGGGACAACTTCAAGCGTACCAACATCAGAATTATAGGGGTACCAGAAGGAGAGAGAGGGCAAGATATTGAAAACCTTTTTGAAGAAATAATGACAGAAAACTTCCCCTACCTGGTGAAAGAAATGGACTTACAAGTCCAGGAAGCACAGAGAACCCCAAACAAAAGGAATCCAAGGAGGACCACACCAAGACACATCATAATTAAAATGCCAAGAGCAAAAGATAAAGAGAGAATCTTAAAAGCAGCAAGAGAAAGACAGTCAGTTACCTACAAGGGAGTACCCATACGACTGTCAGCTGATTTCTCAACAGAAACCATGCAGGCCAGAAGAGACTGGCAAGAAATATTCAAAGTGATGAATAGCAAGAACCTGCAACCAAGATTACTTTATCCAGCAAAGCTATCATTCAGAATAGAAGGTCAGATAAAGAGCTTCACGGATAAGAAAAAGCTAAAGGAGTTCATCATCACCAAACCAGCATTATATGAAATGCTGAAAGGTATTCTTTAAGAAGAGGAAGAAGAAAAAGGAACTCTTACCATTTGCCACAGCATGGATGGAACTTGAGAGCGGATAAATACCACAGGATCTCACTTCATTTGTGGAATATAATGAACAACATAAGCTGATGAACAAGGACTGATCCAGAGACGGAGAGACATTGATTGGACTGTCGGGACTTGGAGGGAAGGTAGGGGAGGGTGGGGGTAAGGGGGAAAGATCAACCAAAGGACTTATATGCAAGCATATAGGCCTAACCAATGGACATGGACAACGGGGGGGTGAGGGCATGAGCGGGGGTGGGGGGGGTGGGGGGTAGAGGGTAACGTGGGGACAAGGACACATATGTAATATCTTAATCAATAAAAAATATATTAAAAAAAAAAAAAAAGAATGTAAAATTCACTTACTGTGAGCCTAGAGGGCAAGGACTTACCATGATATTCTTAGCTCTTAGGCTTGTACTTTTAAGGGCTGAATCAATTAGCCAACTAATAGGATTAAGTAACTGACAGGATGGGAAAGAGCAGGAAGGAAAAATCAAGAGTGATTTAGTTTGGAAAGATACTTCAGAAAAAGGAGCATTCAGTTTGTCCATGTGGACTCTTTGTGATGGTGAAACATCCAAGAGGAGACATGGAGCCAGAAGTTAGCAATGTGGCTTTGAAATGTGAATGCAAGAGAAAGGTTAAGGTCGGGAGAATGGGAGTAAATGGGAGACTGGAAGTCATTGGGGTCTGTGGGATTTCTAAGGGTGGGTAGAAGAAAGAATGGAAGGCAGAGTCAGCCTCCTCTTTGAACTGGCATGATAATGATTGTTTTCTATCTTAGATGATGAGTTGTCACTGGGGAGAAAATATTTATGTCTATTTCAAGAATACAGTGTAGGTCTTATGAGCATGTTTGTGGAGTCAGCAGACAGGGTTTCCAGTTTACCTCTGTCCCAATCAAGTTGTGACTTCTCATGTATTTAACTACTCTAAGTTAAAATTCCTGATCGGAAAAAAGGAGATAATAAATGTAAAGCCAAGCTCTTAAAGGTGAGTCTGTTACAGGAATGTATGAGTGATGACATGCAGTAAGTAGGGTGGAGCTTCAGTTTGCCTTCCCTAAACATGACCTCGTATGTAGGAGTGATTGTCTTCAGTGACTATGCTCTTTCATAGCACAGGACAAAGACTGAGAACTTAAACTTACTCAGTTGCCGCCAAAACAGGGCGTTTTCAAAGCACTCTCCAGAAACTTCATAAGTAAAAAATAAGAGGAAAATGCCTTTGACTTGATCTAGATCTGTGGTCGGCAAACTCATTAGTCAACAGAGCCAAATATCAACAGTACAATGATTGAAATTTCTTTGGAAAGCCAAATTTTTTAAACTTAAACTATATAGGTAGGCATATTGTTATTAACTTAATTAGGGTACTCCTAAGGCTTAGGAAGAGCCACACTCAAGGGGCCAAAGAGTCGCATGTGGCTCGTGAGCCGCAGTTTGCCGACCATGGACCTAGATGATACTAGTATTTTCAACCCCTAATGGAGTTGTTAAATAAGAGGAAATATATTTGAGATAGTTCTTGCCTGGGCCATTCTGAGGTTTGTAAAATGAAATTTTTAGACAGTTTACTTAAAACATGTCTTTCTC